ATACTTAATATTTGTAATCTATCATAAAACGTTTATGCTGGTGCTCACCTGTAAAATCATTTGCTGGAACAAAGGACACGTTGAAAGTCCCCCGGTAGGACAGCGGTAAATCTATGGATTTACAACGTTAAAATCCTGGGTTCGATTCCACGCAGTTGGCACAGCAGATAAGCCAACGTGGTTTTGCTTAAAAAAAAACAACAACTAACAAGTTGAAATTTACTTCAGGATATAAATTAACTTTATATCTTCACAAGTATCCCAGCTAAAAATAAACGTATATATTAAAATTTAAACAAAAAACAATTTAGCATAATATGGCTTAAAGTTAAAATGCATTGAACAATTATAAATATATGATTAAAATTTTAGCAATTAAAACTATATCCATTATTTTTCTGTATATTCTAATTATCTAATATATTAAAACCTTAATCCACTTCAAACCGACATATATTTTTTGGCCTTTAGAGGGCACTTTAGTATAACCACGTTTGCTAGCTGAAGACTTTATTAAAGTTTAAAACACTTAGGCTTAGTTAAATTGCTAGGATAGACATATAATAGTTTATATCAATATTTTTCCATATGGCAATTCACGATCAAGCTCTTTTAAGAAAACTGAAGAAGAGGGAGAAACATAAACAAAAGTTAAGAAAAATGAAACAACTAGAGAGAAGTCAAACCTGCAAAAGTAACTCTGACTCTGAGAGTGTTACTGTTACTAGTGTTAGAAGTCAGGAAAATGAAGAAATCAGTCATAGTCTTAATGAACAGAACACGGTTGAGGATGTTTCAGACAAAGGTAGTTAAGTGTTATATATAACGTAACGTAAAATATTGTTGTTCACTATATGCGTGAATTAGTTGAATTTCCAACCTACAGTAGAGTAGTACCTCATCTCGTGTTTATTTCCTTTTTCAAACATTGATAAACAGTCATAAATGTTTCACTTTTAACAATATGTATACATATCGCTTCTCAAAAAAGCTTAAAATATTTAATCTGTACCTCATTCTATATCCTTTCGAAGTGTAGTTTAACTAGTTATGATTGGTAAATTATATACTCTTAACATAATAATAATATATTATTATTAAGTTAAAATGTGATTATAGTGATTCAATTATAAATTTAACCCCTTTCATAACTTTTGTCAACTTCTGAACATCCCTGGCCACTGAATATCAAGGTTTTAACTTGGTAATCCATGTTTGTTCAGTCATACATGTAAACAAAAGTGAAGCTATGTTTGAACTGTTTTATTTTACTATAAATCTAATGTAATAATAATAATGTACTAAGAAAGGACAATACCATGATTTAAGTAAGAGGTTTTAGTGTCAAATCTATTTACTTTCATACATCTACTATTGTGTTTAGATTTTCTATTTCCACAAAGTTAAAGTACTTGTGCCTGCCAAAGTCCACTGAAAATATAATTTAATCTCTATCACATGTTAAGAACTAGATGATTTAATGTATTACCTATGAGTAGGAATTACATTGTTTAGTGTTATTTAAACTAATAAGTAAACTGGAATTGTGATTAAATTGATTGTCATGAAAATATTCAACTGATTCAAAATTAGTTTCAGATTATTACCATTTTATTTTAAGTTATTTTAACTATCTAAGTAATTGAAATATTGCTATTATGTTTGTTTATTAAGCACAAAACTACATAATGGACTATTTGTGTTTTGCCAGTTTTATTTACTTTAAGTTTGATAAGCTTTGGTGATTGAGGGGGGGGGGGGGTTATATTTGAGGATTTTGGGTTTGATTTCCACCAAACTTGATTATCATGTCTTTGTTATGACAAAGCTACTAAGGCTGTCTGCTTCCATTACCAATTTTGATCTGCTGACTAGAAGAAAGGCAACTATCTGGCAGCATCAATCCATTTTTCTTTTCTGTGATATTCAACTACTCAGCTCTATTACATGTAAAAATCCCTGAAAACTCTGTTAAGTCACTTTCAAACATCTCTTTTTAATTTCTGTATCAGAAAATCTTGCACAACCTGCACAAGAAAATTGTTTAAATCCATTCCACAGTCAAGAATAAATATAATACTGGAGGGGAGATAAATGTATTGATCAATATCTCAGCTGTTTACCAAATGAGAGTGTATTAAAAATAATACATGGAAAACCAACCCTAATAATGACTTGCATAAGAAACAAGCTGTAGGATTGTATTCATATGCAAATTAGCGATGAAGTTACTAATTGTATAAATCTAGTGGTTGCTTTGCAAGGAGTAGGTGGGTCTAGATGCATATTTTACCAGAGGAAATTCCTGACCCCCAGGGGCATTTTGACAGTATTGATACCTCAAATCTATTGGCTGTAGTACTAGCAACAGAGCACTGCTTTGATTCCTTGAGTGACTTATCCACCTCTATGTTAGGAATCATTACTTCAGTCATACTACTGAGTGGGTTTCTGTCTATACTAAATGTGTGTGTGAATCAAATTATGATAACCTAAATTAATAACCTTGCAATTACTATAATTAAAAATTATTTGCCAAATATTTGTCCAAAATAACAACTGGTCCAAGTCATTCTGTAACATCTCAACATCCTCAATACAACTACAAAAAATTAAGAGTTTAATGTTATCAGCAGTGCTTTAAGTAGAGCAAGATGCCATCCCACTTCTTTTCAGGAGGGCCCAAAATCATCCCATTACCTTTCAGTAGACTGTTAGCTTCTTAGAAAAGAAAGATTCAATAGGTGATGCAATAAATATTTATAGTGGCAAGTGACTGGGGAGAGGAACTAAATATTTTTGTCTTAAAATTTCTTGTCAGAGTAAGGCAGGAATGAAACAAAGTAGTACACCAATGAAGTAAATAAGTGTGACAGAGTTTGTAACCACCAGAGTTTTGGTACTATAACTCATAACAGTATACATTAAGTTTATACGTAATTTTATTGTTTTATTGCCCTCTGAACTGTGTCTAACTAATAATTACACCACACAAGTTGTAAATCACTTGGCAAGCATGGAGCCCACTTTACTGTGTCAAATTATGTAATGCACCAGCTGCTCATGGGTATACTAATAAGTTTCTAATTTTTAGTTATTTTTATGATAATAAATAAATAATACACATGAAAAAGAAGAAATATAGTACTTGGCTTCAAAAATTTCATAAACTATCCTGCTTCCTATTTTCCTACCACTTCAAGCAATAGTTATGAATGAGCTTTATTAGTTTATTAATTATGCCATTATCAGTATCATTAATAAAGATAAGAGCAAAGGCTTAAGCATTGACCCCTGAGGCACTACCTAGTAATAAGGATCCACTTTGACTGAATTGGATTTGTAACAACCTCTTGCATTCTCCAGTCCAAACACCCTACAATCCAATTAACTCGTCTTTCTCCAACTTCTACAACCAATATGATTTTTGGTGCTAATCTTTTTTGTGTCACTTCATCAAAAGCTTTTTGAAAATCTAAGTACAAAAAATCAATATCTTTTACATTGTTTGGACTTCAAGTAATGTACTTGATGAAAACAGGATAGTACTGTAAGGCAAGAGATGAAAAGATATTTTCAATATTTCAGTCCCTGAACATTGTATGAAAAAATATTGGAATTAATTTGAATCTTAAAGATATTAATTTGTTAGTTTAACTAGAAAAATCGAGAGACTAAAAAACATCAAGACAATACTAGATTTACCCTAAGGTTTTAAAGATCAGATAAGAAGGTTCTTTTTTACATTTTTGGTAGGTTAATAAACATTGGGCAGGTACCTGAGGATTGAGGAGTTGTAAATGTAATTTCTTTGTTTAAAGGGGGTGATAAGAGTTGCTCTGGAAATTAGAGGCCAGTTAGTATTACTTCTGTAGTAGAAAAAATCCCAGAGAGTCTGATATATGATACTTTGCAAAATCATTTAGTGAAAAATAATATCACAAATGTAGGCCAACATGGATTCATCAAAAGGAAATCTTGATTTACTAAACTGTTAAGATGTTTTGAGGATATTACTTATTATCTGGATGACAGAATAGTAGTGCAATTACATTTTCAAAAACCTGTTTGGTCTTTTAGCTTTATTTTTAATCTCCTTGTCTTTCTACATTCCACCAAGCAATTAATATTTATATGAATCAAGTTATTTCCAATATTTCTTATACATTGCTCAGTGTTGGGAAAATTGATAATATCTTTTTAAAACTAGAAGAGCATAAAATATTTATAAGCTCAGCCATCTCAGTCTCCAACAAAGACCTTGCCATCAGTATCCTTGAAGGAACCAATCCCTATTTTAACATTTTGTTAACCTTTAACATACTTGCCAAGTGTAACCAGGTTTACTTATTTATTATTAATACTTCTGATTGTATATTTTATGCAATCTAATTGATAACAGCTCTTTATTAATTTCCAGACAGAGCAACCAACATACTTAAGAGCTAAACCTTATAAAAATTATCATATACTACATAACTACTGTGTGATTTAGATTTTATATAGCTAATACAACATAAAGTTGTTAAAGAAAAATTATAGTTTCACATGTATAAATAGTCATTGCAGAATGTTCTTAAAATATATTTAGATAAAATTAAAACTGGAGTGGAAAATTTCTTAAGCTATAATATATAAAAGTGATCTCATAATCCATTCAGCACACTGAGGCTGTCCCTCATACCTTTTATTTTTATTTTTTTGTTTATAAGATATTTGTTCCTGAATGTTTGATTTAATTCAGTATTTTGTTGGATAGGCATATGGATGTGATGGTCTGTATCTATGTTGGATTTTTCATGCCATTTTCTGTGATTCGGTGATCTCGATGAAATATAGATGTATTTATGTTAGATAATTTATTTTTACTTACAGGTTTCTTAGTATCTTGTAGTATATTTACATATCCAATATAAAATACATAATATGGTGAAATATGCTAACACTATACATGTACAAGTAATTCCTAAGAGTTATATACTGATGATAAATTGAAATGCTTCAAGAATGTTAATTTAAAAAATGGAAATTTTAACGTGCTTTTAGAATTTTGGTTGTCTATTTGCTGGAAATAATTGTATAGTATTGGTTAAGAAAAGTGTCTTACATTTTATTCAGGATTAATTATTATGTAAGTTTAGTAATAAAAGTTCTTTATATGAAATTCTTAGATCAGGAGATATCTGTTATGGATGCTGTTGAAACTGGAGATATAACTTTGGATAGTGAAAATGATTCTGCTGAACCAAAGAAAAGTGAGTTTTTGCATATGTAGAAGAAGACATTCTTTATCTCTTTCAACACAGGCTCGGTCCCTGGGACCAACCTCATAACCATTTTGTGCTTGTTATAGTTTTCATGCTATAACTTTTAAATTAGTAAGTGTATGTTCAAAAAATTTAGCAGATTATCAGTGAATATTACAATGCTTTCATTTACAAAATATCAGATTTTTTTTATTATGTCTTGAGGTTTGTTAAGCAATTTTTTCTCATGCTTTTTTTCTTTTAGCATATTGCCTATCCAACATGCAAAGTAATTTTCATTTTAAGATTAAAAATACCTTTATGCATCAGAAAATTTTCAAATTTCACATGCAAAATCTTATAATATCCAGATAGTTATCAAACATTTCTTAAGAAAACGTTATATTTTATCTGTTATTTTCACTGACAAAGCTCTGTACGGGTTCGATCGATTTGACCAATCTCCAAACTACCATAAAAAAGTAGGAAATAAATATAAATTATGTCTCTTTCATTCTAGATGTTTAGAATAAATAGCTTAAATCTTATAACATTATACATTTATATGTATTTATTATTTTTTATAATATTGACCTTTCAGCCATGCCTGACTAACAATAGAGAAGTTACAATGACGCGGCGCAAATGCACTCATGTTACCGTATCCAATAATATAAAACTGACCTTTAGTCTTTACTATGTAACTTGTCTTGGCTGTGTTTTAGTAGACTAGTATTTTGTAAACAATTGTCACATTTCAATTATTATATATAATATATGTATATAGATTATTGCTATTTAGAAACAAGTCCTTAAACATATTTTTCTTAAAACATAAAACAGTAAATAAAGAAGCAAAGCAAACAATTATCTCTTCTAGTTGCGACCTTTGTATTCTGTTGCTGCTTGTCTTAGCTTGCTAAGCCTTAAGAAATTTCACATGTGGAGGATGTGAACCAAAATAATTTTTTTCAGGTTTTATATATATATACGTTTGAATAACCAAAAATTCATAAGTTACTATATCAATACCATAGAATTCCATTATAATTTATCAAGTTTAGTAATTAAGTTGTATTTGGGTCTAAAAATATTTGAAATATCAAACAGGCTAAAGACTCAACTTACCAGCACAAAGGTTTGTCTCAAAAGAAAGAGATGATACCATTATATTTGAAAATGGCTGAAAAAGCCACTAAGGGGACATTCTGACCTTTCGATTGGTTATTCACGTCATATGTAGAAGTAATTGTATATAATGGAGCCTTTCCAAAAATGGAAATAGGTGAGCAAGGCCACTGTGTTTGATTCAGTACATGAGTGATATCTCAGCAAAGAGAAATGTTAGGAGGTTATATTTGAAAATGGCTGTGAAAGCCACTAGGGGACATTCTGACCTTTCGATTGGTTATTCACATGTTATATATAGAAGTAAGTGTATATAAGGGACCGTTTCCAAAAGTAGAAAGAAATGAGCAGGGTCACTGTGTTTGATTCAGTACATGAGCAATATCTCAGCAAAGAGAAAAGATGGGAGGTTCTTATTTTTTATTTTAGCTTGTCAATATTGGTAATTTGAGTTCCGAATTTGTACAAAACTATAGAC